AAGCGACATAGTGTTCGAGAAAATCTGTTGTCCAACAGACACCGCTGTCTTACTGGCGTCCTGCATTTGTGCTGCTAGCCTTTGCCAATTAATCGACTGATTTCCGGAAAAGAACAGTACGAACAAGCCGACGAGCAAGGGTTCGATTGGATGATGTAAGGCTTCAGTACTTACAAATAGCACAGGATCTAGAGACGTATGTCGCTTGTTCTTGGTGTTGATGCTCTGGGTTTAAGTATCTATGAGCCTGAAAAAATCGGGTTCCCATGGTCGGAAATCCGAAACCTCCTTTTTCACGACAAGAAGTTTACAGTCCAACCAGCAGATAAGACTGCAAGGGAAGAGGAGTCCAAAGATTAATAAGCGCATTTTGGCGTTGTGCACCGGCAATTATGAGCTATACATGCGTAGAAGGAAGTCTAACTCTATCGAAGTGCAATAGATGAAGATACAGGCAAAAGGGGGACGTGAATTGAAGGGGGCGCATTTACCACGGTAGCGGAGAATCCCTGAACCCTTCACAACGCAATGATTTAGGCGCACGTCTGCATTTGGTTTCACCTTATTCCCGTGTTCCACAGACAAACTATTAACAACTGAAGTGACATAACCATGAGCTATCTGGATAAGTTTCGTGTCGGAATTCCCCACACAAAATTCGTGTTTAGGTGTCGGAAATGACACCAGAGTTCGCCTCGCATACGAGAAAGTGGCTCATCCCGTTTTCCCTGCAACAGGTGTATGCGGCCCCGAATCCGGTTGTCAGACCGAACGTAACTCCAGATCCAGTTGAAGCTGCCAAGGAGACCAGGTACGGTTCCTCAGTCTCATGCTATCTGTCGACTGGCGCGGTTGGCTCGTGGGGACTTTCACGTAATACCGAATATACTGTGATGGCTGGCGCGGGAGGTGTACCAACGGGGAGCGCCGAGGGCGCCACTCAAAAGAAGAGAGGGGCAGTGTAATGCTTTGGCGGTCAATTTAGGATTTGTCTGGCTTTGTACTCGTGGGCTGGCCTTCGGACCATGCCCAGGTCCATTTGTCCTTAAACGTTTCTTACTCGAAAGTGTAAAGACATTTTAGGAATTTTGAAATTAAACATAGTTAAAAACTCAAATCTCACAAAAGCAATCGTGAAAGCTGCGAAAGCGACAGGACAACTGAGCTCAAAGGCTCATGTAAAAATCCGGATTTTACCGTTTTAGTAATAGCAACGAATGCCATTAGTTGTCATTTAATAAAGTAGCGAAATTTTAGTTACATAAACCGAATTAGTGGGAACAAAGACCCTAAAGTATCTTCAGTTTATTTAATAAGCATTTGTGCTTCCTACATGCATGCAACATGAAACAATAATTAAAATCAGGAAACAAATAATTTTGTTATTACTTAAAAGTATGTTTGCTTTTTGTTTGCGGTTAAGTACATACTTGCCATTTAATTTTAATTGCCTGTAGCTTTGTTTAAGTCTACAGCTCCTCCACGCTAACAATATAAAATGTGTCGGGGAGATACTTCACCGCTTCCCAAGAGGTGAACCGATATGTATGCTCCAGAAGTGGATGCCGATGTGTTTCAGCAGGTTCTTGACGTAATGCAACCCTTCCGTCTATCGATGGAAGATTACATGGACATTAAGAATGCGCTTTTGGCTGCACTGCGCTCAGGTCTTAAACTGAGGCGTCGCGACAAGTCGTCCGTAAAGATGTATCCGTCATATGTTACAAAAATGCCAACTGGTGAAGGTATGTGGAGGTCTTTTGTGCGGTATTTCCTGCAGAATGTGGTCAGTACTTAGCACTTGATCTCGGCGGCACGAATTTCCGAGTATGCCTGGTTACTCTCTCCGGTAAAAAGGAACCTCCCATTGTTGAGCAAAGAACTCATGCTATCCCTGTTGAAAAAATGCGAGGAACTGGCACCGAGGTAGTGCAGCTTCATTCGCTTCATTTTTAGCTTTTTGATTACTTGGCAGCAAATATCCACGAATTTCTTCGTCTCCGTGGCCTTCTCGATAGGGAATTCAAGCTTGGATTTACGTATTCTTTTCCGTGCGAACAGGCTGGACTAAATACGTCCTTCCATGTTCGGTGGACGAAGGGGTTCTCGGCCAGTGGTGTTGTAGGGCGCAATGTTGCAGATCTCTTACAAAGTTCAATCGACAAAACTGTAAGTCTAAATTCCTTTATTTTTAGTCCTGGGTATATTTCATGTTTTAATCTAGGCATCCATCTTCATTATCTTAGTTCGTCATAGTAGGTCTACTGATATTACTGGCATTTTTCAGAGTGTAAAGTTATTTTGTTCCTTGAAGTCACAACTAATTCCATTAATCTGGTTGAAGCAAATATGCTAATTTCCTTAAACTCCTAGGGTGCAAATGTCAAGTGTGTAGCTGTTGTAAACGACACTGTTGGCACCTTAGCGGCCTGCTCATTGGAGGATAAAAGATGCGCCGTTGGTCTCATTGTGGGAACTGGTTCTAATGCCGCCTATTTGGAGGATATCGACAAAGTTGAGCTGATCACTGCACGTAGACTTAGTGGTGAATTAAATGAAGAGGAGGTTGCCCATGCCACTAGTGTTGTTATCAATATGGAATGGGGCGCCTTTGGAGATTATGGTGAACTGGACTACTACCGGACCGAATTTGATGAAATTTTGGACAAAGAGAGCATCGTGCCGGGAAAACAGAAGTATGTATCTTCGCTTTTTGTTTTCGTTTATTCCTCTATAGGGTGGTCTGTCACATGGTTGTTTTGTTTCAAAAGGTTTGAGAAGATGTGTTCGGGAATGTATCTTGGTGAAATAGTACGGCTCATTTTGCTGGATCTCATTGAAAAGAGTCTTCTCTTCCAAGGTCAAGTCCCTGAGCGCCTACGCAATAAAGATAGCTTTCATACTAAATATATTACTGAAACTGAAAGGTTGGTGCCTTTTTGGAAACTGTAGTATGCTTTTTGATTGGTAAGTGGTATGATGTTGAGTAACTTCTCATACTTTTTTTCAGAGACCCACCGCATCTCCTCTACAGCACCCTATATATGTTGACAGAGGATCTCTTGGTTCCTACAGTCACACCTCAGGATAGTCGAATTGTGCGTTATGTCTGTGAGGTGGTTGCCAGCCGTGCAGCCCATCTCACTGGTGCTGGCATTGCCGCAGTGCTAGAGCACATCAAACGACCCGAAGTCTCCATTGGAATCGATGGCTCCCTCTACAAATTGCATCCGCGTTTTCGTGAACGTATGACTGACATTCTTGATAAACTTCTTCCTCCCACAATTCACGTGAGTACTGAGACAATACTTACACCTTTTTGGCATTTCAGCTAGCTAATGACTGTTCCGCTGTTTCAGTTCCGTCTCCGTTTGTCTGAAGATGGTAGTGGAAAAGGGGCAGCCGCCATTGCAGCAGTTTTTGCAGGATAGTTTTGGGCATTCCGTTTGATTTTTTTAATTCTACCAACTACTTTCTCAACCTTATTTTCCATCATTTCCGCTCTTTGTCATCCTGCCTTAAAATGAAAGTGTACATAAAAGCCCGATTTGTGAATCATGCTCATTCTCAGGACAATCATCGATTATTCATTTTTGTCTTTGTCTTCCACTTGCCTCTGTTATATCCTCGTCAAGATTAGCAATTTATTTGGAATAAAGTATTCATATTTACCACTTTTAAGTTCTCTATGATCTTTGTTAGGTCTGATTGACGGAAGCTAACAGTCAGTAATTACTATGGTCAGATTTTGCTGTGACTCCTAAACCATCCTAAGGGTATTTTTCATTATTAGCAACTTTTAGACATAGCCCTAGTGGAAGTTTATGCTGGAAATCACATTTGGGTAGCAGATACTTCTCTTCCTCGACCTTGCATGGACAAGTAAGTTGAAACCTGCAAGATGTTCTGTTAAGCAGTGTGACATTTGCTTCGCTACAGCCGCGACATCTTGATCGGATCCTGTGCTAGAGGATGTGATTTTGGAAGGTGGGTTTCAAAGGAGGTAATCTTTATTACCGAATCGAGATCACACATTACTCGAAAAGGAGGATTTGGGATATGTTGCAAGGGCGTGGATATGATTACTCTATCCACCGCATAGTCGACTTGAGCCGTCTATCAAACACTTGAGACGGGTAGTAAACATGATAGGGTGTGTGTATTTACGTGTGTGTTTTTATAAGGTGGTTCAAAAACATGGCAAAACGACGACGAACACGCCCATCACTACTGCGAGACGGGTGGGTCGTGTCAACGCTTGCTGATCGTCTTAATCTGACTAAATGGTGTCAAAAGCGTTTCCACTCTTGCGAATCATGAACAAACCACACAACCTAAAATAGACCGATTTTTTCACTTAATAAAGCATCACATTGATTAAGATTATGTTCGTCGAACATCCCCCTCACAGAGATTGGTGTTTGAAGGCAATTAGAGGAAGGAAAAGACAATGTACAAACGAAGATGATATAAATGCTTAGCAAGATTATTTCACAATCATCTAGAGCTTGGCACAATGACTCCTCAAAATCTGTTTGCGCTGCCAGGAATACTGTGACTACGGGCGCTGTTAGCGGTGGACTTACAGAGTGTCAAACGTATATATTTAAGGAAAAACCACAATTTTATTAAAGTCGCGTTCTGCTGCTTGGGCGTTATTACTCACTGATGCAAGCAGTGTAAGTAAAATTAGTTCTTACACCATTCTGACATCTAAAAAGTCCTGTATCACCTGGAATTCCTTGAGACTGTCAAATATTTAAACAATTATGGTAGTAAATAATCTTCTCAAGTCTTTATTTTTACTTCCTTACCCGGTTTAAAGCACTCGAAAATAAAAGGCTGTTTCACATTAACCCTTATAATCTCCAAAGGCAGCATTTTAGCAAAATTAATGCCAACCACTCTTAGTTATGGGGTTATGATTTAATTAAAATGAGGGAAGGTGGCGTGAACTAAAATGTTTATTCTTAGATAAAGCGAAAAACAATATTGCTGTTATTGGCGCCATCGCATTTTGCAAAGTAGTCTGATCAGCAAGTAAATAAATAAATCGGTATATAGAGTGGCATTATCTGCGTAGCTTTGGAGTGAATTGGGTCCGTTCAATGAAACACATTTCTTACATTGAACTGATGGTCAGCGAATGTGACCCAAGTATGAAAATCGCTGGTGTGAATCCTTGCCTTCCTGTTTGTTCACCTATTTGTGTTAAGACCTGTGTCTCCAAGATGTATCTTAATGGCATGGGATGTGCAGTTGGCATTATCGAGAATGCCTTGCGTTGCTACCCGCCTGAAAGCCAGATTTGCATGGTTCAGCTTGGAGCTGAGTTCATGAAGCAATATTTGCTTCTAACTCACGATCTCACAACCAGAGGAAGTTTAAAAGTCGGAATGACCTAAGGACTCACGCACTAGAAAGTACTTCAAAACAAATGTCAAATCATTAAAGTTGCGATGTAAACGTCACTGAGTTGTAAAGCTTTATTTATGTATAAATTGAATCCGTGAAGATGTGGTGCTGCGGTTAACTCCGCTAATTTCAAGCAGTTGGCCAACCAGTAGTTAGTGCTGGACTTTTAGTAAAAAAAATAGAGCTGTTTACTTTGCTCTCAACATGAAGCCCTATATTTTTCCTTCAATCATGACAGTTATTTGAGAGGATTTCGATCGTTTAGTTACCTTTATCAAATTTGAAATAATTACCTCGTCAAAGAAACGTAATGTCGAAACACCGTTTTGAGATTGCGTAGGACAAATAGCTTGCGACAAACTCCCTCAGATCTCCGATCGCTCCCGTATCATCGCCATTTTCATAAACATGAAACCCCCCCCCACCTAACTGATTTCACCGTCTTACCACAATTTGGGACCGTAACAGAGGAGTATCACTACTACCTTTTTAATTCACCGCTTGAAGCTATATCAAATAGTAATATGCGCTAGCTCCACTTATTCTACCTTACTTTGCTTCATATGTTCATGCTACATTTGCTCAGATGCGAATGCTGGTGACATCTGTGGTCACCTATTTTTCGTCTTGGTGAGTTACAGGCATGCCTCCTACATGGTGGCATAGGGGGTGTAGTTAAGCTATCATTCCCCCCTCCCCCCAACATCAATAAGATTGGCGGCTCTGGATGGGTTAGCAAGAGCAGCTGTGGCCTCCAGCATAATCATAGAAGTAAGGGGCTTTCATATTGATTAGGCAGAGGTTTCCACATCTGTTTGTGCATTATTATAGGACTTTGCCAAACATATTCAGATGCAGCTTGATAAGGCGTTATTTTACAATATCCTAATCATAAAATTGGAGTTGCGGATGCTTAAATACAATCGTTAACTAATTGATGATTGCTTTGTCTTGATTTAGTTATCAACTTTTCAATAATTTCTTAAAGCTAAAATTGAATGCGTGAAAACGCATCCTTCCCAAAAATTTGCCGCGCTGTTGGATTCAGAAAAAGACTACGCTATGAATATATCTACTTTGAGTCTGTGACTTCGTATTTGTCGCTTTTCTATTTGCTACCAATTTTGAAGTTGGTAGGTGGATTTACTATGCAGGTCATTGAATCCCGTTGCACATCTGCATCCCGGATTCTCCATCCTATGGATAAAAAGAGAGGTAATTACAAACTGAGCCTCATGATGCAGACGTAAGTTTTGCAAGACTATAACTTATTTGCAGGCGTGGCGACTATTTTGGAAGCTAAGCCCTTGCACACAACTAATACTCATTGGGACAAAGGTGGAAACCTAGATACTTTGGTAATCTTAAGATTCACCTCGATGGACAAAACTACGCCACCTAGACACATTCTCTTGCAGAAGAATGACAAGCGCTACACGGTATGATAACGGTGAGAGATTAATAAATGATGAAGGCACTAACTGGGTCTCTTTTCAAAACTCATGAAGAGTTTCTGCTCATTACGTGGGTCTGCTTTCCATTCAATGATGCGAAGCAGGGCATCTGAGGTGCCAGTAATGATAGCATTGGTGAAGAGGACGTTCATACAATGTGCCCGTGTTACGCCGATCATCAATCTTGAGGTCTCCGTATATTTTCGGAACTGAGCTGGATTCGGTGTCTAGTTGAGACAACAACGGAAGCTGTTTGACGGAGATGTTAACAAACTATTCGAGACAAGATATTCACGTAAATTGCTAGGAAGGAAGGCTTTGTACAGTTGCTTCTGACGCCACTTCGAAAGACGGTTTAGTAATTCTAAATTGTTGCATTTACCAAAAGCAATTTGAGTGCAGTCAAGATAGAGCATTTTGCTCTTTAAGCTTACATTGATGGAGTGTGGCATTTTGTATGCCTTTAATATCCACTGAAGGGCCTCCTGCGCCTGGCCCGCTTTGTCGTAGGCGTGACCGAGCAGTCGGCTTGCCTTGCAAAGTTGCAGCCAGTCACAGTGCTCCTCGCACAATTCGGCGTAGATCTTCAGGTATCGAATCGTCTCTTGCATATTGTTCTGTCTAAAATGCAAAACAGAACTGTAGCGCTTTGCCGGATAATCACTTCCTCTTTTTAAAGTCTTCAATTTGTCATCTAATGGAATTTTACAGCAGGCATTAGGTTACGAAGGTGCCAAAATCATCCTCAACGTCCTCAGAGGTGCCATATTTAAGGAGGCTCTCCCTAAGATTTATTAAAGATCTTGAGTGAATGGACTGAAACTCATACTCGTCGCTTACCCATAAATTATTACTGCTAGCAATTATTCCACAACATATCACCTTAGATCACTTTGTTTTACAAAAATCTGGTGATGACTTTAATAGTGACCGAGAAAAAAAACGCTTCTTTTCCATACTCACGACTCAAATAGCTGTGCAAGAGATTCACAGGCGTTGCCAAGACTGACCCAATCATTAGCGCCTTTGGATAGGTCAAAGTAACCACGATAAAACTTAATAAAAAAGACAGCAAATGAAAGCATAGGTACAGTTCCATGTAGCGATGATTACGTAACGGAGGCAGCTCACCGTAATGGCTTCAGATATTTTATTTGCTTCTTGGTACATTTGACCCATTTTCAAACTCGCTGGGGCCGCCAAGGTCCAATCATTACCTGCAAAATGGATGAACAGGTAAATTAACACATTAGAACATCCAAAAATTAACGTTTTATGTAGAAAGCGGACATACACACACTCCAGGAATCGCGCAGTGATTTATAGAGGATGTGGTGGAAGAGATCCTACCTATTTTCAAGGCGTTTTTCACTTGGTTGCATGAGTGATACTATGGCTTTGGGATACTTTCAACGGTAAGTTTGCCTTTTGTGCCTGTCATTATGAAAATTGTGATGAGGCTTTTGAACTGTGATTAACGTACTGGCTGACGCTATATCGTGGGCCTTGATGCAGTAGGCCATGCGTTCACAGAGATGTTCTTTCGGCGTAGCCTCCAGCAGCGCATGGTAGATGCGAACGAGATGTCTGTCTGCGTTTTTGGACATCTTGGTACCGTCCTCTTCTTTCCAGGCCTTATCACGGGTGGCGTTGTAGAGTTGAATAAAGAATGAGCATGCCATTTGGAGGTCGCCTAAAAATCAAAAGACAAAATTTGCATCAGAGCCTAGCTTTCCACTTCTTGCTTATCGGTTTTGAGAAGGATTGCGGCGCAGATCAAAATGTCGGATTTCGCATAAAGAAAAAACCGTAATTGATTACTAGACGGCTGGTTCATTCAAACAGGCCTACACGCACGTAAAGAGCCACACCCACGACAAAAATTGCGCCATTTTTTGAGACAACTACAAAAGTTTACGGAAACACAACGTGACACATTACTTTTTTCTTTAGAGAAAAATGCACACACCCAGATGGTTGTTTATGGCACCAACGAGCTTTAATATCGTGATACACGAAGGCATATTTCGCAATTTCTTGCCTAATCACTTCAGCACCAAATGCATTGCATCGATATCTTAAGACAGTATACAGCTGCAGGCTGTATACTGTTTGAACATCGGAGGTGAAAGCAAATGGTTACGCCAAAGGCCATTTACAGAATCAGGAATCGCTGCTCCCTAAGTCACACCATTGAGATTGTACTGAACGACAATGTATATGCTCTTGACACATCTCCGAGGTGGAATTAATTTAAAATCAGAATGCTGTCACTTCCCCTTATTCGCATTCTTTTTTAATGATTTGAAAGAAAAATTCTAAAAACTACTCAGAATGCTTTTGCATTGAGATTCAATCTGGTCGCAAAGAGGCAACAAAGTTTCGAAAGACTTTCAGCCTTTAATATTGCTGATTGAAATGCCTACGCTTGAGTCATGGGATAAGCTTCAATATTGCTTTGGTACGAGGAAACTAATGTCTAGCCTGGTCATTTAAATTCCTAACAAAAGTGATTTTACTGAGTCCTCCAAATTTGAAGACGTACCTCCATTTACAAGCAAATATGGGAGAAGTGATCATGGAATAAATTTTATTACTCCATTCTGTACAACATTACCCTTGAAAAAGAGTCTGAAGTGCATTAAAAGGGGTGAGAAATATCAATTAGCTCCTTCCATTTCACTGGCAATTTATTGAAGAAAATAAGAGTTGGCAGTTCGCAAAACTATGTAAGGAATGTTCTAGGAAGATTAATATTCGTGGCACATGGAGCCACTATTTAGTGAAAAATTGGTTGATTTCAGCAATTTTGAGGAAGTCTCGTATGCGCAAGACACGATTTATCCATTGTGCCTGCGCGCAGTGCAGTATTTTGATAACTGTGCTGTTCAGCAGAAGAACTTTCAATACTAAAGCTTTGAGCAACCCTCTCATCAGGTAGCGCATAATCAATTATTCTCTCCACTAATAAATGCTCAATAAAACACAAAGATTGACCGAAAGTGGTATGAGGTCCCATGCCTTCAGAAATTTGAGTTTACTGTCTCAAATCACTCTAATGACCTTCAAAACTGTAAATCGATTAATTCAATGAAGGAGAACTGATGTGAGCGCTGTAAGTGTGCTAATGTCGGAAAGTCTCATTTGAGTCAAGTTCTACCCTTAGTCTCCTTCGCCAGACCATTATATTCGTAGGCCTGTGCCATCTTCAGCCCCCCATCATCGGTAATGCGTTTGGCCACAGTGAAGCAGTAATCGAAGAAGTGCTCCGCCAACCAAAGTTCATCGGGATAGTCGTTGAAGAACTTGGCCAATCTGAGGTAGCACGTGAAAACGGTGTGATTGTCCTGGCGTCTTGTCGCCGCCTCTGCCTTCGACAGCTGGTCTCTTAGCATATGGATTTTCTCTGACTGTTCACTAATTGAAGGAATTGTCCAGAGCGAAGAATCCGGTCCTGCTCTTCTACGCTCCTCCATCTGTTTTTGGTGGATTGCGAATAGCTCGGTAAAGGCGTAGTGGTAGCCATTCTCCAAAAGATCGTGGCATAACGTCTCGTAAAAGGGTAACTGTAATCTAACCGAAATACATATGTGAGATATCTTCGACGCCTTTGCCGCCTATTACACCATCTCAAACTACGGTTTAGTGCATAATCCTTGAACTCTCGTATCCTGTGAAAAAACTTTATGTGGAATTACCTTTATTCCTAAAAATTCTCCTCTAAGAACTACATAAACACTTCTAAAATGTAAGACAAATGACTTTTTCCCGCCTGATGGACTCATGGAGAGCGCAAAAGAGCGATTGTTGAAGCTATTCTTTTTATAGCTGTTTAGTGTCTATTCCACAATCGCAATCGAAAACACACCTTGCGAATTTGAATAGGACGGCGAAGTTGATTTATCAGACGACTGTTTAGATTACATTAAGGCTTACAGACTGGACCCTGGTGCACAGCTCTGAATCTTACTAGACACGATTATTATTTAGTGCTAACAGTAAATACTGCATCGGATGAAACCAGCCGGCTTTGGCTACCTTGAACTGTAGTAGGATTTGATGCAGTCCACACTAAAACCGAATGTTTGGAGCACATATTTTACCCCCTTTCCTAAAATTTCTCGAAAACCGGCACATATAGTTTATCACCATTTACCGAATCTCTTAAGGGCTCAGTCAACATTTTTTTAGTTCTTATTCACCTTTCATAAAGACCTTTACAAGAATGGACCCAACTTTTGCACAGAGGTTAGAGGTGGGAAGAAATGTGGTCGCATAACCTTACTGATCACCACGCCAAAAGCATAATTGAACTGCAACGGAGATAGCTGACATGAAAAGTGACTTTCAGGCAAATAAAATGTTGGAAGAAATCACTTTCTATTCGCCTTCACATCCATCAAGGTAGCTTAAAGTTGGAATTTAAATTCCCTTCTTGATTAAGTGTATAAATACGACTTCAAAAAGATTCTGAGACACATAAATTACTGAGGAGCCTCCGCAAGGGTCTACTCGACATTAATTTGTTTTGGCGAAACAGACATAATTCATAAATAATAGCCGTGTGATTATTTCAGCTAATAACCTCCTCACTTTAACCTAAATTAAACTTATAATGTATTGGCGTCAGTGGTTAACTCTATTTACTGGGTTGACCTTGATCAGATAAAACAAGGGTTTGTTTTGCCGACCTTAGTTCAAGGCCATTTTTATACCAAGAAAGTAACCATGATTGGAAACTTAAGCAAGAGGAGTTATAACTTACTGGGCGATTTGCTTTCTCGTGAGATGCGGTAATTCTGCTCGCAGTCTCAGTTTCACTGCATCACTGTTGAAGTCCTCATTAGGAAATTCGCAATTAATTGCAGCTCCTGAGTTGTTTGCATTATGGGCGAAGTTATTGGAGGGGAAGTCATTGGGATATTGGGAGTTTTTGGATGTACCATCCGGTACACCAAGTCCACCCATCGGCTTTAAGTTCCTTCTTACCTCTTCCATATGGCAATCGTACCGTTGATTTAGCAGTGGTAGGCTGCATGAAACGAAGGGGTTGTTCTTAACATTGAGTGAGCTCAGAAATGACCTCTCTTGGGGCATTTCTGGGTACCTAGTCTACTTGTCTTTTGAGCATTCGCTTGCCGCAAACAAACAACACACTAGTCGATCGAAATTTTAAACTTTCTTCAACCAACTAACTGCAAATGATCGACCTGATGGGAGAGAATTTGATTTTTCTGAGGATATTGATAGCTCATTCGCAATGGTTTTGCCTTTACATACATTTTTTCTCCTATTCTCACTGGACTGAACAAGTATGCTTTTTAGGAATGGAAAAGAAGTAAATGTTTGGACGAAATTGCACTACTCACTTACAAAGGGGCACAGTCAGAGCTAATGGAAGAAAAATCGGCGGTTAACCGATAATTTTAGAGTAGTCAATGCCTTGATACCCCTTTCAAATGTCGTTGGCAGAGCTCCCTAACCTGAAACGCCAGCCATCATAATCCAGTTATTGAATTGTAAACAAAATTACCCACAAGCCAATCTAGCTCGTGATCAAACTTGCAACTAACTGACAGATTGCTTGATCGCGCTCTCGGTAATCCCCCTCCCTCCCCCAACACCTTGTCAAAACCTCAATATTTGAAGCCTTGTTCTGATCAAGAAGTATTTTAAGGGAGAGATATGCCAACCACCTTAAATGTTCGTCCCCAGTTATGAGAATACTGAAATGC